CTCACCAAGGCCAGCTGGACTGGGACAGAATGAGCATGTGGTCAACTGGACTCTCTGAATGTGGCTGACAATGAGGACTGACTGAGAAGCTAATGATAATGACACCAGGTTTTGATTCTACTGCATGTAGCAGCTTTTTTGGAGCCTAGTCTGTTTGGATGCACCTTCCTAGACATGGATGGAAGTGGGAGGGCCTTGGACTTCCTACAGAGCAGGGTACCCTGACTTCTCTTAGGACTGGAGAGAGAGGGGAAAGGGGGTAGGGAGGGAGCAAGAAATGGGCGATGGGAGGAGGCAGAAAATTTTAATAAATAAAATTTTTTAAAAATTAAAAAAATAAAAAACAAAAACAAAAAAAACAAAAGGTCATCTTGGTGAATTTTTTCCTTTGATGATTATGTAAAGTCCTTCACCATATCCTTTGATTAACTTTGATTTAAAGTCTATTTTGTTAGATAGTAGAATAGCTACAGCAGCTTGATTCTTGGGTCCATTTGCTTCAAAAATCTTTTTCCAACTCTTTACTCTGAGGTAATGTCTATCACTGATCTTGAAACGTGTTTCTCATATGCAGCAGAAGGATGGATCCTGTATTCATATTCGTTCTGTTAGCCTGTGTATTTTTATTGGAAAACTGAGTCCATTGATATTGAGATATATTAATAAACAATGTTTGTTAACTCCTGTTATTTTGTTGTTGTTGGTGGTGGTTTTGTATGTGTCTCTCTTCTTTGGGTTTTGCTGGTATAAAATTAGGTAATCCCTGTGTTTCTTATGAGTGTAGTTAACTCCTTTGCCTTGGAATTTTCCTTTTAGTGTCTTCAGTAGGGATGAGATCTGGATAGATACTGTTTCAATTTGACTTTATCATGAATTGTGCTATTTTCTCCATCTCTGGAGATAGAAAAGTTTTGCTGGATATGGTAGTCTGAACTGGCATCTGTGGTCTCTTAGATTCTGTAGGATATTCAGGCCCTTCTGGTTTCTAAGTCTCCATTGAGAAGTCAGCTGTAATTCTAATGGATCTGCCTTTATATGTTACTTGGTCCTCTTCCCTTGAAGCCTTATATAGACTTTTTTTTGTTCTGTATGTTAAACGTTTTGATTATCATGTGTCATGGGACTTCATTTTCTGGTCTAGTCTATTTGGTGTTATATAAGCTTCTCTCACCTTTATAGGCATGTCATTCTTTAGGTTTGAACATTTTTCTTCTGTGATTTTGTTGAAAATATTTGCTGAGTCTTTGAGCTTGGATTCTTCTCCTTTTTCTATTTCTATTACTCTTTGGTTTTGTCTTTTCACGGTATCCCAGATTTCAAGAATGTACTGCTTTAGGAATTTTTTAGATTTAACATTTTCTTTCACCGATGCATCTATTGCTTCTATTATATCTTCTACCAGTGAGATTTTTTCTTCTATCTCTTGTATTCTGTTGGTGATACTTGTATCAGTAGTTCCTGTTTGTTTACTATATTTCCAATTCCATAACTCCCTCAGTTTGTGGGTTTTTTGGTTCTTCATTATTTAATTGAAATTTTACATACCAATTCCAGTTTCCATTCCCTCCCCTCCTCAAGTTCCCTTCACCTTCCTCTCCACCCCCATTCCCCAGTCACTCCTCAGAGAGGATACAGCTGGGTAGCAAGGAGAACCCTAACAGAAACATACTTGTATCCTTCTGGAAAAGGGAAATAGACAAGATCTCCTAAATTTGAGGTTTCTTTTGTTTTGTTTTGTTTCAGTTTTCATTTTAAGGTCATGATCTATTTCCTTTACCTGCTAGCTTCTTCTGTGACTTTCTTGGCATTATTTAATGGATTTATTGATTTCCTCCAGTTTTGTTTGTCTTTTCCCTGATTTCCTTTTTTACCCATGAGATTTTGATTCTTTGTGAATTTTGCATCACAAACACCAATCCAAATCCTTTTCCAGTACTTCCGTGTCTACTCTCCAGTCTTATAACTTCTCCCTTCCTAAAAACTAGAAAATAAAAATTAAAAATTAAAAGAAAGTCTTGCCGTGGAAGCTGTCGTGTGTAGTTGGAAGTTGTTAGTTTGTTCCCAGCAGCTCGGCCCCAAAGTAATCACTCACAGACTATATTATTTGTAATACTATTTGGTCAATGAGTCAAATAAGAGTATTTCTGGCTAACTCTTATATCCTAAACTAACCCATCTCCTTTAATCTGTGCATTACCACAAGATCGTGGCCTACCAGCAAGATTTTGGCAGACTTCAGCATAGGAGTCTATCACTGGTGGTGGCTACATGCCTTCTCTCTGACTCTGCCTCCTTTCTCCCACCATTCAGTTTAGTTTTCCCACCTAGTTCTATTTTGCCCTATCACAGGCCAAAACCACTTCTTTAATCATTAACCAATGGTATTCACAACATACAGAGGCAAATCCCACAGCAGTCGTGTGTTACGGTGTGTCACACAGCATACACATTTGCCAAGAGGCTTTACTTGCAAACGTTCTTTGCAATACTGGGGTTTTTTGTTTGTTTGATTGTTGGTTGGTTGGTTGTTGTTATTATTGTTGTTTTTGTTATGTTTGTTTTGTTTTTATTTTTGCTTTTGAGGCCTCTGGCTTTTGCTACACCATTGATAGTGAACCCTCACTGAGACTCCTAGGATAGCCTGCTATTGCCCTGAGTTGTGGAGATCCTGAGGCTAGGGTTGTACAGGACCAGTTCCTTCATGTGCTCCAGCAGTTCATCGATTGGTTAGGTATTGGGGCATGCCATTTCACAAGCCCTGGGTCTGGACCAGTCTATTAACTGAGTTGTTCAGCTGACCAACTCTCTCACTCCCATGCCACCAGGACCAGCTCTCCTGCACTGCCCAAGAGAGGGGCAGAGCCATCTCTCCTGCACCCATATCACTGCTGGCACCACTGTGTGGTGGCCAGTGAGAGGTTGACTCAGCTCAGCTCAATACTGAGACGTCAACATGGTCTCAGACAGCTGCCCAGAGCAAGGAGGTTCAGTGCAGTGCTGAGAAGTTCTATCCAGAGAGGTGAGTGAGTGCTTGCCCGGGCTCTCTGTCCCAGAAGAGAGCACAGCCCCTCCCCCCTCAGCTTCTGCGGCAGGGTCTTCAGTGTTCCATGGGACCCCTCCCTGCTCCCACTGCTGCTGCCCTTTTGTCTTTTGGGTCCTGGAATCCCTGCTGCAGTGCTGAGGAGTTCTACCCAGAGAGTGCTGAGGAATTCTATCCAGAGAGTTCTGAGGAGTTTCATCCAGAGAGGAGGAGATGGGCAGGCGCCAATGCAAGAATTCCTCCAACAACCTGAAAGGCAACATGACATCTCCAGAATCCAGGAATTGAACACCCTACTCCAGAAGAAATAGAAGAAATCGACTCTAAGTGGATCTTTATGAAAATAATAGAGGAACTTAAACAGGAGGTGAAAATCAGCCATAAAGAGATGGAAGATAAGTATAACAAAAAAGATTGAGGAAATGAGTAAAGAAATGGAAGAGAAATATACCAAAAGGTTTGAAGAAATGAGTAAATCCGTAAATGAAATTCTGGGAATTTCAAGAAAATTCAATCAAATAGGTAATGAAAACAGTTCAAGATTTGAAAACTGAAATGGAGTCAATGAAGAAATCACAAGCCGAGGGCCGGCTGCCTATGGAAAATCTAGGTAAACGAACAGAGACTTCAGAATCAAGCATATCCAACAGAATACAAGAGATAGAAGAAAGAATCTCAGACTCTGAGGACACCATAGAGAAATTAAATGCTCTGACCAAAGAAAACAGCAAATCCAACAAATTCTCATCACAAAACATTCAGGAAATGTGGGACACAATAAAAAAAAAATCTAAGAATAATAGGGGTAAAAGAAGGAGAAGAATTGCAGATCAAAGGTCCAGAAAATATATTCAACAAAATTATAGAAGAAAACTTCCCCAACCTAAAGAACGATATTCCTATGAAGGTTGAAGAAGCATACAGAACACTGAATAGACTGGATCAAAAAAAAAATCACCTCGCCATATAATAATCAAAACACAAGACAGTCAGATTAAAGAAAGAATATTAAGAGCTGCAAAGGAAAAAGATCAAGTAACTTATAAAGATCCTTCATCTGGCGATGGATGGAGATGGAGACGGAGACCCACAGTGGAACACTGGACTTAACTCCCTAGGTCCAAACGAGAAGCAGAAGGAAAGAGAACGTGAGCAAGGAAGGCAAGATCAGAGGGAACCTTCATCCGACGAAGGATGGCGATACAGACGGAGACCCACATTGGAGCACGGGACAGAGTCCCCTAAGGTCCAAATGAGGAGCAAAAGGAGGAAGAACATGAAAAAGGAAATCAGGACCGCGAGGGGTGCAATCACCCACTGATACAAGGGGACTGATCTAATGAGAGTTCACCAAGGCCAGTTGAATGGGACTGAGCGAGCACGTGATCCAACCAGATTCTCTGAATGAGGCCGAATTCTCTGAATGTGGCTGGCCCGGAGTCTTTCTGAAAAGCCATTGACAATGACACTGGGACTTGTTTCCTCTGCATATACTGGATTTCTGGGATCCAGTCTGTCTGGATGCTCACCTTCCTGGACCTGGAGGGAGGGGGGAGGAGCTTGAACTACCGGACTGCTCTTGGGGATGGAGAGGGAGGAGGAGAGGGAGTGGGGAGAGTGGGAGGGGGTTGGGAAGAGGGGCGTAAATGGAGACTTTTGTATTTTAATAAACTTTGAGAAAAAAAGAAATAAAAAAAGGAAGAGGTTATTTGGTGGGTAAGGGTTAGGGAAAGAGACCGGGGGAGAAAACAGGAGAGAAGAAAGGCAGAGAAAGACAGAGAGCTGCCTTCGACTCTATTTTCTTAATGACCATGGAAAACTTACAATGGTATGGGGTGTGTAGAGAAGAATCGAGAAAGTCAGTCAGAGGTTGGTCCTGTGAGAGCGTGGACACGGAAGTGCAGTAAGGGTGGAGCTCAACAAGCTGTGTCTGAGGTTTCACTTGGATCTGAGTTGCACAGAAGACAAGGTTTTCTCTTCCCCTTGAGCTCTGACCTTTGTCAGGTAATCACAGGCACAGGCAGAGGCACCCACGCTCCTGAGAACCTGAGTCCTGCTCAGCTTGGGAGATCAAGACCCCTTGGTAAGTATGGGAAGGTGTGCAGTTCCCTCAGTGTTCATCTCCAGTGCAGCTCTAGAGGAAGCTATGGACCATTTTACAGATGCACTCAAGGGCAGTGAATCTGTACTTAAAACTGAGTTGGGTGTGGCTGTTTTTCCTAAGCCCAAGGGGTTGGGGAAGGCCTCAAATGGGATCACTGATCTTCAAGGGTTCACCTTGGATAACAGAATGTTTGGGGCATGACAGGGAACTGCAGAAGGAAGGTGTCTGGTGTGGGTGCCTACTCCATTGTGAAATGGAGAAAACAAAAAGATAGAGAAGGTCAGGGACCTAAGCCTGCCCATCTTAGGGGACTGGTAATTAATCTGTCTCTGGAGTGCTGGTTCTAAAGCTCATGGGGGCAAAGTCTGCCTTCTGAGATATCAGGAGCCCTTTCTGGTTGCTGGAGGGGAGTGGGAGATCTCTCACCCAACCTGTCTTTGAGGCACTAATCTATGACAGTCTCTGTATGTAAACTAAGGCTACAGGATCCTGGAAAGGAGTTTGAGCAGTGGATGGCATCCTTGTATCCTCTGGGCCTCACCTGTTCTCTGCTCAGTCTGTGGGTGGTGGGGAATGGCAGGCTCTGTCTTGTGTATTCAGGTAAAGAAGACAGACAGCTGGGCATGGAAAGCACGTACCTTTAATCCAGCATTTGGGAGGTAGGGGCTGTGAGTTCAAGGTCAGCCTCATCTATACCATGAGTTGCAGGATATTTGGGCTACATAGAGAGACTCTAACACACACACACACACACACACACACACACACACACACACACACAAAGGAAAATAGGGCAGACATGTGACACACAGACATACAGACATTCTGGGGTCAGACCTAGCTAAATAAGTAAGCCATGTGTCTCACCTCTGTCCTGTGGGTCTCCATGGTTACTTTCTTTCTGGCTATTATTTCCCAATGTTCTGTCTCAGGGCAGCAGAGCACTCCCTGGTGCTTGTATTCCCTGGTTTGATGGTCATCTTCCTTACGGTTCAACAGTCAGTTTCTTCCTAAGAAATTTGATGCAAGCTGCTCTGGCCCCACAGTATCTCCAGGGAGACTCTCTGCTGTCTCCCTACTGTAGATGTGGGATGCTTGTGGGACCCTGGCTGGGCCCTAGAGAGAAGGTTGCTTGGTTTGTCCTGCTAACCAACACAGGGCTGCTACAAGGATCATGCCAAATCACTGGTTCTGGAGGAGGAATGGGGGTAGGAAAGTTGGCAAGTGTTATGTGGAAAAGTGCCATTAGTTATAGGTTATCCAGGTCTGGGAGGGCCAGAACAAACCTGCAGGGAGGAGCTATTTATCATATCCATTTGGGACACTAGGCATTGTGCCCAGGGTATTATAACACTGAGGGACTTTCCTCCACTGAAAAGTAGTCATAGCCCCAGACCCCTGTTGCAAGGAGGGCCCACTTGTTCGTCTTGTCAGCTCGGCAAGTTAAAGTCAAAGACCTTTAACTATGGCTAGAATCCACTTATGAGTGAGTACATACTTTTTGGGTCTGGGTTACCTCACTCAGTAAAGCGTTTTCTATTTCCATCCATTTGCATGCAAAATTCAAGATGTCATTGTTTTTACCGCTGAGTAAAACTCTAGTGTGTATATGTTCCACACCTTCTTTAACCATTCTTCTATTGAGGGGCACCTAGGTTGTTTCCATGTTCTGGCTATTACAAATAGTGCAGCTATGAACATAGTTGAACAAATACTTTTGTAGTATGATAGGGCATCTCTTGGGTATATTCCCAAGAGTGGAATTGCTGGGTCCTGAGGGTGGTTGACTCCCAGTTTCCTGAGAAACTGCCACACTGATTTCCACAGCGACTGTACAAGATTGCATTCCCACTAACAATGGATGAGTGTTCCCCTCACTCCACATCCTCTCCAGCATAGGCTATCATTGGTGTTTTTGATTTTAGCTATTCTGACAGGTGTAAGATGGTATCTCAAAGTGGTTTTGATTTGCATTTCCTTGATTGCTAAGGAGGTTGTAGCTCTAGATTCTTATTGACTCACTTTTACATTAATTTATCCCATTTTTATTAATCTGTATATATCACCTTGTCTCAGTGGCTTACCAGCAAGATTTTAACCAGTGTTCTTCTCAGGCAGAGCATCCCTGGCATCTCCCTGACTCTGCTTTTTCTCTCAGAATCCAGTCTGTCTTCTCCACCTACCTAAGTTCCACCCTATCAGAGGCCCAAAGCAATGTCTTTAGAATCCAATGAAAGCAACAAAAAGACAGAAGGACCTCCTACACCAGACACTACTGGTGTTTGTTCTTAATTAAAACTAGGGTCTCCGTGTGAAGCCTCAGCTGTCCTCAAACTGCCAGCAGCCACCCTCCCTCAGCCTCTCTGGAGCTATGGTTACCCCATGTGCAATCAGATCTGCGGTTTCAGGCTACTGTGCATTAATAGTCTAGGGAGAATGCCCACTTTTGTGTACTGCCCACGAGAGTGTGGATTCTCACAAACTCTGTGTAAAACACTGAGCCTCAGGCTATGAAAAAGTTAAGTGTTGAAACTCTGTGATCCAGTCATTTTTCTTCTAAAAACATCTTACAGATAGCAATCCGCGTGAAGAATTTTTTTTCAAGAGAGTGTTCATTTCACACGATGATTAGGAGCTGCCTAAGGTTGAACATTTAGGGAGGAAGGCAGAGGACTGAATGGGCTAGAGCAGAAACAGGGACTAACAGAACCCCAGCCCTGCTGGGGTGCAGGATCCTGCAGAACAAGGAGGGTGTGAACTTTGGGAGATCACTGTGGCATCTGTGAATTTAACCATTCAAGAACACAGGTCCTGATGTGGGTGAGAAGGCCCTCACAGTCACACAGGGAGGGAAGGAGATGCTGTGTGCTTTAGAGAGTAGAGATCATACCTAAATGATAGGGTGCCATCAGAACAATTTGGGGTCAAGTCCCTGGTCCAGTATTATTCTGAAATATACTGTTGAAAGATGTCAACAAACTCTTATGATCTTCCCTCCACTTTAAAATGGGGTTCACAGCAGTCTTCATTTCATGGAGGATGGTGGTCCCCTAATGAGGTACTATGAGGAGCCCTGTGTGGCAGAGACAAACAGTAAATCATTTCCATTAACATTAGTTCACATGTGTGCCCACTAAGTCGTTGATAGAACATTCATTTTCATTTCTCCTATGTCTAGATTATCTATTCTTTATCTTCATGGCTATGTCCCTAGTTGGTGACATCCCCCTTGGACACTGAAAGGGCTGATAAGAGGGCTCTAGCAAGGCCAAGATGAGGGGAGAAGGTAGACCAGATGACTGGCATCTGTAAGCAGTGGTGCAAGACCCACTGGTTGAGAAGTATTCTTGCCATCAGTCCATTGGTCCTTTACTCCCACTCTGGTGGAACCATTAGCCTCTGGCCCCTCCCTCCTGACTTTCCTCGGCGATCCATATTGCATCTTATACTTCTTTTTGATGTTTCTTTCTCCTTCCTTCAGCCTGGACACGTGAAGAGCTGTAAGGAAAACCTATCCGAAATCCCAGAGCTGGTGCTGAGAACCCAGACGCCCTCATGGCTATGTCAGGTAGCCAAGTTCCTCTTTTCTGACTGCCTCCAGATCATAAAAGCTTCAAAACAGTAGGAAATACTGCACCTATTACTTATCCAAATCAGGTTCCTTTGGTCTTAGTGGTCCACTTATGTGTGATGATTGTGTGTATAAATATACTGCCGGTTCTTACTAAAAGATACCCCAGATGCTCGTGGATTTGAGCACTTGGTCTCCAGTTGGTGTTGCCATTTAGGGAGGTTATGGAACTCACAGGACATAGAACCTTACTGAAGAAAGTTCATCCCTGTGTGTGGACCTTTAGAGTTTATAGCTCAGCTGACTGCAGATTTCAAGTCTTAATCCCAGCACTAGGGAGTCTGAAGTAGGTGGGTCTCTATGAGTTCCAGGTTGGCCTGTGCTACATAGTGAAACACTATCTCAAAAATAAAATAAAATAAAATAAAATAAAATAAAATAAAATAGCATTCATAACCTTGCTCCATCCAGTACATTTTATGATTCTTAGGTGCGGTAGAGATGTGATCTCTCCATTTCCAGCACCTGCTTCTGTCCCTTCACTGCCACTCTGGACATCTCTCCCTGTGGAGCTGGAAACCAAATGAATCTTCATTAGTGTATTTCTGTCATGGTGTTTATCTCAGCAACAGAAAAGTAATGAATACAGAAGTCGGCACCAGAGAATAAGCTCTCCACTACCACCTCTCTCTCTCTCTCTCTCTCTCTCTCTCTCTCTCGCTATTTCTATCTATCTATCTATCTATCTATCTATCTATCTATCTATCTATCT